AGTCTGCATCTTGTACAGCAATTAACCACTAAGAAGAATATATGCAGTGTATTATTTGTTGAAAAAAAATAAAAATAAAAGCAATTGATGAAGGTGTTATGGAAAAAAAATAAAATAAAGTCTTCCTTCTTGCTAAAAATAAATAAATAAATAAATAAATAAATAAATAAATAAATAGAAGAAAAAAGAGAAAGTTCTTGCTACCATCACAAAATCAGTCAGTGGGGACAAGAATTGAGGTACCTGTTTGGTTATGCTTTGAAAAATACCAAGATCCTACCATACTGAAGATGTGAACCAAAAGCTCTTGAGCCATGGCAAGAAACCCTTCAGTCAGCACATGAGGAACCTTTGAGCTCGCATCACTCCTGTCACCGTCTTGATCATCCTCACTGGGCATCCAAAGGCAAAAGAGTGATTTTCCTGAAGCAGTTGGCCAGTGGCTTGCTACTTGTGACTGGGTCTCTTAGCCTTATTCATATTCCTCTATGAAGAACACACCAGAAATTTGTCATTGCCACCTCTACAAAATTGATATCAGCAAAGTGAAAATCCCTAAACACCTCACTGATGCTCTTACTTCAGTAGAAGTAAATCCAAGAAGAAGAAGCTGCGGAAACCCAGACACCAGGAAGGTGAGATCTTTGACACTGAGACAGAGAGATACCAGACATCAGAGCAGTACAAGGTGGATCAGAAAGTGGTGGACTCAGATTTTAGCAAAAATCAAAGCTGTTCCTCAGCATCAGGGCTACCTGCCATCCATTTTTGCTTTAACAAATGAAATTTATCCTCATAAATTAGTGTTCTAAGTTTCTTACTAAGAACCTAATTAAATAACTGATACATTTTTTAAAATCTTCCAGCTCTTATAATTGGAGGAAAATTGATTTATCAGAACTTTGCAAGACATTTTTTGTAATTCCAGATTTCCTATTAATTTGCATAAATGCACATAAATGACACATCAACAAATCATATTTGCTTTCAGCAACAATGTTTTGTGTTTATGAGTGGATTGATAACTTTATATCTGTTTATTTTTCCTAAAGTAATGTGATTCTGTCTTTAATTCTTATGTCCACAAGTATGAAAGATGAGGAGCTGGAATTATCAATAGTTAAGATTTTTTTGGCTGGGAGATAGCTCAGCAGAATGAGTGCTTGCCTGGCAAGCACAAGATCCTGAGTTCAATCCCCAGTACTGCAAGAAAAAAAAAAGTTTTTTTCTCATACTGAAGAGGAAAATTTTACCATTTTTCTTTAAGTGTCTGTATCTGTCCACCTTATTTATTCTATTTTCTTTGTAGTATCTAATTAAACATCTCTAGTTTTGATAAGAAGACATTGAAAGAGATCACTAATAAGAAGCCTCTGTTATAGTATTTATAATAAAATAATAATAAAGAGTAAAATGTTTGAACATGACAATTTGACAAATGTTTTATTTAAGTGATCAAAAGGGAATAATATAGTATATGACCCTGGATTTACTAACCTAATGAATTGTGTAGTCAAAAAAGTGATTTATAAATTTCAAGTTTTTATTTTTTTGTCAATAGTTGTCAAGATAATATCATTTAACTAATTTGAGTCTCTATTCCTATTTTCTTTTTACTTCAATTTTCATTCAGCCTCCTCTCTGCCACCTTTTGAACTTTTTGGTTTCTTCTACGTTTACTTTTCCTGCTAAGAATGAACTAAAATACAAGGGAATCCAATTACTGAAAATGTGCCATTAAGACACTTCTTTCAAATTTATTTCCCTTGCAAAATATATTTTCCTACAAGAAACAAATTTCCCCAATGACAGTAAGGATATTTTATGAAATTCTTGAAGAAATATGAATAATAAAGTCACAATCATGGAGATATAAGTTAAAAACAGTAACAGTAATGTCCAAAACCCTTGAACTTTCTCCCTGGGAAAACAAGTAAACACATGTACCACTTATTTACATCTGATACCTTCTGAAGACCCCAAATGATAGTATTGGTGGTAAGGTAGTGGGCCAAAAACAGTACATCCTTAACCAGGGAAACACTAACCTGAGATCCATGATAATGATCATGTCCAGAAGAAAATGTCAATTATATTTGCAAAATCCCAATGTTGACTTCTGATTTCTCACCCTACATGTAAAAAGTTTAGAAGTGGCCACTCGTTGTAACAGGGAGGAAAAATGTGAACAATTAAAAAAAAAACCAACAATGCTTCTTCAAATGTGGGAGGAAAAAGCCCTGAGGTCACAACAGAAAGTTGCCCCCAAATTAGAGAGGTAGATGGAAGATAGAGATATGTATAGCTTACCAAGCCAGAAACAACCACAGGAATCAGTATTGCGGTAGGAAATAAAGCACCTCAAAATGCTAGAGTACTCTCTTCTTGTTAATAGAATTTTCATCAGGATCACTTACTTAATCTTAGTCTATCCTGCTATGATTTTATTAGAGCTTGACCTTCCTGGATAAAGAAACATACACAAATGCAGCTCCTTCTAGCATTTCACAATGGGTGAGGGAAACATCCAACTTGAATCCCCTCTAACTTTTCATGTAGGGGAAAGAAAATAAATACAGCTCATCCAGCCATTCTGTCCCACCTAAAAGGAAAAAAAAACTAAAAAGGACTAGTCAAATTTATACCCATGAAGACATGCTTAACAAAAGATTGGACCTAAGCAAAGGCTATAGAATGTTTCCTGTCCCTTCACAACTCCCCATTACATTATTAAAGGTCTAATTACCCAATTTTTTTCAACTAAGATATCATGCTTGTTTTTCCAAAAATCATGAAGTATAATAAAAGGCTAAAAACACAGTTTGAAGAGCTCAAACAATCAACAAAATCAGTGTGAGATATACAAAAAAAGGTTGAAATTACTAGCACAGGAATTCCTTTTTAAAATATGACTAATATGCTATGGGCTTTAATGCAAAAAAATAACATGTAATAACATGGACCACATAAGTAGAGAGATAGAAATTCTAAAATAAAATGAGACAGAACTGCTACAAATTAAAAACATTGTAAAACACAAAGAGAAATACCATATGCTGTCATTTATATAAGGAAACTAAAATACTGATCTAATAAAATAGAGTAGAATAGTAGTTAATCAAAGGTGGGAAAGATTCAGGGATGTTGGAGAAAGTGTGCTTCATAGATACAGGTATGTAGAAGGAGTACTTTCTAAAATGGTACAGTAGGGTAACTATGGTTGACAACAGTTAACTGAATATTTCAAAATAAACTGTAGAGAGAATTTTGAGTGTTTCAATACAAAGAAATGAACAATATTTGAAGTAGTAAATAAATCAATAATCTCGATCAGATTTTTATGCATTGCATACATGCGTTAAAATATCACATGGTAGCCCATAAATACATATATGTATGTGTGATTTCAGATTAAAAATATTTTAAAACACACTGCATTACCAATGAAGACTTTTGATGAAATGATTAATATATATGACACAGCTAGGGAATGAATGTCTGAGACTGATTAAACAATCATAGGAACTTCCAAAGCTTAAAAGCAAAAGCAAAAAAGAGGAAGAAGACTGAAATATAACCAAATAACAATATGCAGGAAATCTGGGAAAAACTTAAAATATCTAACATGCATATAATGTTAAATACCAGAAGTGGTTTTGTAAGTACAGGAAACATCAATCAAGATAAATACTTCCGCCAAATCCTACACCAAGGCATATCTTATTCAGACTTCAGAAAACCAAACACAGATATTTTTTTTGAAAGAAGAAAGAGGGATAAAAATCTTAGTTATATAAGAGCAAAGCTGAGAATTATAACAGATTTCTCAGAAACCACAACAGCTGTCTGAAGTGCTGAGGACAAAAAGCCCGGTAACCTTGAACTCATCTCTTACAATTTGTTCTTTAAAATTGAAGGAGAAATAGTTTCTCGGGCAAACAAAAACTGAAGAAATTTCTTTCAAGTAAACTAACTTTTTAAGAAATTCGAAAGTTCTTTAGAAAGAAGAAAATGGTATTCATAAGAAACTCAGATCCACATAAAGAAAATAAGAGTGTCAGTGTAATATTTTATTAGTAGAAGATAATATGGTGTTTATAGTACAACTTTAAATTAATCAGCTTTAGAATCCATCCCAGGCATTAGTAGAACACACCTCTAGGTGCATGGATCAGGTAAGCAAAACCTTCGGATCAATGTCTGGAAACTTTCCTACTCTCTTCTTCTCCTCTGCTCCCTGGAAATCATGAATTAAACATCTTTGCTCCACCATGACCTTTTGCCATATTTCTCTCCTGCAACCATCTGACTGTAGATTGAAACCACGAACAAATTAAACCTTTCATCCTTTAAATTATATGTTGGGTATTGTGTCTCAATGCCCAGAAAGCTGACTGATATGAATATTCATGTTCTTGGTGCAATAGCATTGTATTGTATGAAAGTGGACTTGGATTGGTAATAAATGTTTATTGCAACTTGTAGGATGATCACCACAAGAGTTAGAAAGGGAAATATAATTAATATGATTATAAAGGATAGAAAAAGGAATCATAAAATGTGTTCATTAAAACCACAAAAAGGACTAGGGCTGTGGGCCCATGATAGATTGTTTGTCTACCAAGTATGAAGCCCTATGTTCAATACTCAACACCACAAAAAATTAAAAGTGCAAATAAAACCACACAAGTCAAAAAAAGTGTGGAAGATAAAAGGAAAAAAAAAGAACAGGCACAAGAAATATAAAAAGGTACAATTTAAGTATTAGTTTCAGCTTATCGATAATTTCTTTAAGCACCAATGGTCTAAATACATCAATGGAAAAAGAGTCATAGGTGAATTGGTTAAAAAATAGACACAATAAACGATATGTTAACTTCTAGGACCCTGTTTTAACTATAAGGACACATTTAGATTAAATGCAAAGGGACAAAGTACAATGTGCTAAAACTAGTTTAACAAGTTGTAATAGATACATTAATTTCAGACATAGTGGACTTTCTAGCCATAAAAACATCAGAAAGAGGAACTTTACATTAAGATAAAGGGATCAGTACTATACTATATTAAGACATGATGATCCTATGTGTATATTTCTAAAAGTAAAGTGTCAAAAATACCTGAAGTATCTTAGAAGCGTAAGATTGAAATAGATAAATCCACTCTTGCTATGGAAGACTTTAATGCCCCTCTGTCAGCAACAGACAGATCCTTTCAACAGACAATCAAAAAAGATATAGTTGTACTAATAGCACCATCAATCAACTAAATATAATTGACATCTGTAGACTATTTTGTGCAATAAAAGTAGAATTCACTTTATTCTCATGAATGGGATAGTCACCAAGATAAGACAGCATTTTGATCTTAAAACAAAATTTAAAGTTTAAAATAACAGAA